GTGAGGAATCAGAATCAGCTCAAAAGCAGTGGATCTGAAAAAGGTATATGCTTTGGTGGCCTAGTGGCTAGAAGCTGCACTGCAACCCCAAAGGAATGTGGTTCGAGGCCAGCAGCTGTTTTGCAGGAGAAGGATGGGCAATCTCTTCCGGAGTGATTAACTGCCTCTGAAAACCCACTGGAGGATCAGCTATGGGTTGGTTCTGACTCTATGATACACAACAGCAACAACATACATTTATAATAAATCCAGTCCCTTGTCTATCTCCATTGTCGTTGTTGTTGTTATGTGCTGTCGAGTCATTAGCGACTCATAGCTACCCTATGTACAACAGCCCTAAACCCTGCTCTATCCTGTGCCAATCGCATTGCCTCTAACACAGCCATCTCGATTACCCCAGTCACCGAATCAATCCACCTCATAGAGGGTCTTCCCCTCCTGCGCCATCCCTCTACCCTACCAAATATGATGTCCCTCTCCAAGGACCTGTCTCTCCTTACAACATGTCCAAAGTATGTCAGACGAAGCCCCAGAATCCTTGCCTCCAAGGAGCAGCCTGGTTTAACCCTCTCTAGGATGAATCTGTTTGTTTTCTTGGCAGTCCATGGAACATTCAACACTCTTTTCCAGCACCACAGCTCAAAGGCGTCAATTCTCCTTCTATCCTCCCTAGTCATTGTCCAACTCTCTGATGCATAACAAGTAATTGCAAAGACCATGGCCTGTATCAGGCGCACCTTAGTCTCCAAAGCGACACCATTGCTCTTGAGTACTTTAGAGAGGTCCCTAATCACAGACTTTGCCATCGCAATACGTTTTTTTATTTCCTGGCTACTGGTGCCAAGAGTGTTGACCATGGAGCCGAGCAAACTGAAGCTGTGAACAATCTCAGTCTCTTCGCCATCCATCCTGATCCTACCAATTGGTCCAGTGGTGAGAATCTTTGTATTCTTGACATTGAGCCTCAGTCCATACTGAAGGCTGCAGTCCTTGACCCTCTGCAGTAAGTGCATGAGGTCCTCCTCAGTTTCAGCGAGCAGGGTTGTGTCATCTGCATAACGCAGATTGTTGATAGATCTTCCACCAATCCTAATGCCACGCTTCTCCTCATAGAGCCCAGCCTCTCGGATAATCTGCTCTCATACAGGTTGAAAAGGTATGGAAATAGGACACATCCCTGGAGTACACCCTTCTCAATTTTGAACCATGCAGTATTGCCCTGCTCTGTTCTGATGACTGCCTCTTGGTCCAAGTATAGGTTTTGTATTAGCACGATTAAATGTTCTGGGATTCCCATTCTTCTCAGAGTCAGCCACAGTTTGTTATGATCCACGCAGTCAAATGCCTTTGCATAATCAATGAAACACAGATAGACATTCTTCTGGTATTCTCTGCTTTCAGCCAAGATCCATCTAACATCAGCTACAATATCCCTAGTACCACGACCCCTTCTAAACCCAGCCTGGACCTCTGGCAGTTTTCTGTTGATGTACTGTTCCAGTCGTTTTTGGATAATCCTCAGTAGAATCTTGCTTGCATGTGAAATCTCCATTAGATTGGAAAAGAAAGGCCTTTATCTAGACTTCAAAAGGAATTATCTCCCTAAAGATTACTGTACAGGTGTTAAAGCTGGGCAAGGAGGAAACGCTGTCAGCACACTGTCAGCATGAGCATCATCGTGGGTATATTTACTTAATCTTTATAGTTCTTGGATTATCCCAATTTCACAAATGAGAAAATGAGATCTAAGGATCTTGCCCAAAGTTTATTGTGTCACCTAGTCTGTCCACAAATTATGGTGACTCCATACACAAAGGAATGAAATACTATCCAGTCCTATGTTATCTCCATCAGGTATGAATAAACTTTTGCAATCTGTAGGGTTTTCAGTGACTGATTTTCAGTGGATTGACAGCCCTTTCCTCTTAATTTGTCTTAGTCTGGGAAATGTAGTGAAACTTGTTCAGCAACACATAGATGTTCACACAGCCAACTGTGAAGCACTGGCTGCAATTAAACCCAGTTCTTCCATGTAGAATTTAGTCACTGAGTCACCAGTGCACTGGGATTTGAACCGAGAATGTGCACTCTATGATGCCATATCATTTAAACAGGACATATATTTTAACTGTATGAGTGCACACTGCAGATCAAAAGGAATGTAACAATAATTATTTCCTTTGGAGTTTATGGTCACATAATTTCTATGCCATGGAAAGAAGAGCATAATGAAGCCAGCAGTAACAAAAAAATGAATTCCATTTGGAGAGAACAGTTTTGCTAATGCAATAAGATTAAAATTACTGAATCTTCAAAAAGATTTTGCAACACTTTTGCACAACTGCAAAATTTTTTTACCTTTCAAGTAATTACTTAGTAGTTCCTTATGACCCAGCTATTCCACTGCTTGTAATACACCCAGAGAAAATGAGAACTGAGGCACAAACAAGACTTGTACACCAATGTTCATAGCAGCGTTATTCACTATCACAAGAACATGGAAACAGCCCAGATGTCCATCCACAATAGAATGTGAGAAATTATGGTACATTGACACATGCAGGAGCAAAGATTTTGTAAATCACAGTCTAACTTGCGAGGGACTGGAGAGCATTATGCTAAATGAACTTGGTCCCATAGGGACAAATCCTGTATAAAACCATCATTGTTGAAAGTGTATGAGGACCCAAGGGGGAGGAAGAGGGTGGAAGCAGAGGGGTAAGGATGGCCGGGGGGAAGTAATCATAGGGTTGAACAAATTGATGGATGAAGGGAGGGGTAAGTACAATGTATATGAATTTTATAAGTAAACCAGTATAAAATGGAAATTTTATTTAAAGAAAAGTCATTAGGTGCTGAGGAGTCATGTCTGACCCGTAGCAAGCTGAGGTACAGAACTAAATACTGCTCACTCTTGGGCCCTCAATTGAGGAGGACTCATCAGTGTCGACTTCATTTTACAGTCACTTTCATCGACATCTCTATGTGTACTTTAGGGGAAAATGTAAAACATATTATGGAAAGAACATGAAAGTTTGATCAGGCAAAATTCAAATTCAGCTCTTTCATTTTCACTCCCTCACTCCTTCCTGTCAAGTCACAGCTGACTCTCCAGCAAGTTTCCAGAGGCAGTAAATCGCATGGGAGGAGACAGCCAGCCCATTTTTTCTCTGTAGAGTGGCTGGTGGATTTGTACCTTAAATTTTGGTTGCCAGTGTAACTCCTTACCAATAGACTGCAGAATAGTTATTGTTATGTACCATGGAGTAGCACTGGTGGATTTGAACTGCATACCTTTGCATTGACAGTGCAGCTCCTTACCACTAAGTCACCATTGTTGTTGTTAGGTGCCATTGGGTACGACTCATAGTGACCCCATGAACAATATTTGAACCCTGTCCTATCCTGTGCCATTCTTATTATTTCAGACATACTTGAGCCCCTTGCAGTAATCAGCATGTCAGTCCATCTGGTTGAGGGTCTTTCTCTTTTTCATGGACCCTCTACCTTTCCAAGCATAATGTCCCTCTTGAAAGAATAGAGTTTCCTAACAATATGCCCAAAGTATGTGAGATGAAGCTTTTTATCATATTTGCCTCCAAGGAACACTTACTAGGCTACCATGTTGTTGTTGTTGTTATGTGCCGTCGAGTCGCATAGGTACTTGAAATCAGTGAATCATAAAAAAAATTAGAATTCATTATGACCAAGATCTATTGTTTCATTTTGTTTGGTGAGAGAGAACATTAAGTAAAGACCTGAGCATGTGTATCTTTTATCTGGAAAACTTGTTACAGATGATTGCCATCTTAGGGGGATTTTTTTTAGGATGGAGCTCTAGTTATGTAGTGTTTTACTTTATGCACTGTTAACAAAAAAGGTGAGCATTACCTGACTCTACCACCATTTTCACCAGCAAGAAAGATTTTTTTTTAAAAAAAGACTTATGACCTAGAAACTAAGGGGTCAGAATCAACTCAAGAGCCATGGGTTTTGCTTTGGGTGTTTTAAGAAGGAAGAATTGTGAAAATTACTTAGAGGTTCAAGCAAATCCTATTAGTTCTAGTTTTAAAGACTAGAAGATCCAAGCTTCTTAATTTTGGATTATCTACCACATTCTTTTTTTCAAAGGACTCTTTGCGATGGAAGACAATGTGTCCTTTAAGATTAAGCACAATTGAGAAATATGAAAGAGGTAGAAGTGTACTGAGATGTCCTAGTAGTTTGATGTGTGTTTATGAATGACTTCAAACCTCAAAAGTTAATATGTCTTAAAATGTATTAAGTGACTTAAAGATTGATGGATGGATTTAAATTTAATCCTTTTCATATGGAACTAAATGGTAGCTTTGGTTTGGGGATTTGGTACTGAAGAACAAGCTATAAAACAAATATACAAAACACAATTAAAATTCTTTAGGCTTTTTTTTTTGCCATTTTGTAAACCCTCACTTTTAATACTGAATTAAGTAATTTTCTAAACCTAATAAGAGTACTATTATTTCTTTGTATCTTAGAAAGATACACTTTAGGACATTCTGAGAGTTTCATAGCTGTCAGAAATGTCTTAGAAAGAAAAAATGAGGTTTAAAAGGTACAGTTTAAGTCAATAGGACAGACAGTACAACAAGAACAAACGCTGGCTTAGATTTTGTCTCTATGGAGTCTTTTTTTTCCCCTACAAAAGCCACTTAGCATCTGACAGTTTCTGTAGTTTCATTTTCAGACAATTTTTACTTGCAATCCTCTTCTGGATAAATCAGTCCTAGGCTTTTCTTGAACGTGGACCTAAATTGAGTCCCTTTTCTGTATAAGGCTAATAACATTTTCATTTCTGTTGGAATGTGGTTTTATGCTCCAAACAAAACTTTAAAGTACTTAAGAAGTTTAAGGAGGAGGGGGTAAATAAAAGCACATAAAACCCTCTCCCAAACTCTCTTCTGGTTCACACAGAATATGAAGAATGTAATAGAACTAGCAGAAAATCTGGAGCATTATTATCAATCATATTTGATTCTCACTGAAAAGGGTTCCTTCTTATAATGGGAAATAATTTGAATCAGGATGCAACAGTTGATAAGAAGGAAGAACAAACCAGCTAACCAAATAAACAGAAAGGTGTTCTGACCTTCAAACTCAAGAACATAGGCAGGAGCTAGCCACAAGCCTTGTCCTATAAACCATAACATTAGGAGAACCACAGCTCTTTTCCAAGTTATTCTCACTCGGGGCATCACAAGAGGCAGAAGGCAGAGATACCAAAGAAAGTACTGGGAGGTGCAGACTTTGTTAAAAGTCACAAAAATGGCTGTATGAAGAAAACAGCAAAAGGTGAGGTCTCTGAAATAGGCGAAGGACACTGCTGAAAGCAAGATGAACTGCGGCAGGAAGGCCGCAAGTCCTAGCGTGAAACTCCACTTGCTCTCCGCGGTCAAATACAGCATGTAGAAGTAGGGAGAAAAGTTGTGACGGATATCCCGCCTGGTCAGATGATAAAGGTAGGTGTGCTCCAAAAACTCCCAACCGTACTCTAAGTAAAAACCAAAGCTCAGAGCAATAAATGTGAGTCCAGAAACTGCTACAAAGAGCAGCACAGACTGACTGCACAACCTCTTGAGGAATTTGTTCAGACGCTCCTTGAGAGGACTCTGGGTCTGCTGGAAGCTTCGGGTACTGACGCGTTGTGGAGCCAGGCGGAGCGCTATGGGAAGGATGTAGGTCACCGGGTAGATCTTCATATGTACCGCGAAACCATAAAAGACAGCGGCACACGCCACGAGTCTTGTCTCTATGAAGTACAAGGCCATGAGCACCAAGGAGGCGACGATGGAGTCCGCATTACCTCGACTGGATACTGCCATGGGGAGGGGGTTAAGCAGCCAGAAGGCACAGTAGCCGCACGCACGCCGCTGGCCCAGTCCCTTAAGCAGCAGCAGGCGGTATATGAGGAAGGCGGTGAGGAGGTCGCAGCTGATAAAGAGAAACTTTCCGAAGAGCTCATGGAGGTAGATGTTGGGAGTGAGAAGCCAACCCAGCAGAGGAGTGTATCGGTACGTGGCCCGCAGATAAGGGGAGCGGCCTTCGGTGATGAAGCGCGCGGCGTCCGTGAAGACGTGGTAGTCGATGTCTGTATACCTGACGTGCAGAGTCCGGTCCTGAAAGACTCCGTAGAAAACCAAGGCAACTCGGGCAAGAAAGGCTACAGCAAACACGCCGGTCGGGGACACCTGCATGTTCAGGAACCATTCTTCCCAGTGCCTGTTCGAGCTCATGATCTGAGAGACAGCCTCTCTGGTCCAGGTCTAACGTATCTTCGAACTCCCAAACTTCCCTTTTATTCCCTACTTCACTTTGCAGGTGCATCTCCGGCCAGACACAGCAGCGACCGAAACGGTGGGCCGATGACTTCCGGCATGAAGCTCCGCCCCACGTTTCTTCCGGTTGGCGTCCCGAAGCCTGATTCGTCTGAATGGGCTCTCTCGGTTTCCGTTCCTCCCAGAGGGGCGGGATTTCCGTTCCCTGGGGCGAGCATAGGTCCTTGTTAGGAAGGTATCGTGTGGCTTTGACTCTTAATGATTAGCGGCATATTGATTGTGTATTTATGAGGGATTTTCCCATTTTTCACCCAAACTTCAATCAGCGGAGCCAGAGCTAATGCAGTATTTGTTGGGCAAATGTTGTATGGGAGCTTCACAAAGCTTCTAATGTGTATGTCAGTATTTAAGCCCTTTGTACTTGTCATTCCTTTCCCCGCCCCCCTTAGCTAGCCAGGTAAGAAACTTACTATCCTTCTGTCCACTCCCATCTTGTCCATTGATATAGGTTCCAGTTCTCTGTACTGGTAGTTCTCTCTAAGGTAGGTGAATTGGGGCAGGTAGAAGAGGATGTCTGCTCTGAAAAGCCGCGGAACACACTACTCTGCTACATACAGCCCTGTCCAGAGCCTACAGTCACACTGTGCCATATTTACTTGGCTAAGTAAATGCTTTGTTAAAGCGTTTGTCCCTCTGCTTTGTAAGAATTTTTTTGTGTCTCTCCTAGTTTGCCATCTGGACACTGAGTTCCATGAGAACAGAGTTTATCTTCTTTTCTGTGCCTCCTCATCTAACACATTGCCAGATTTATTTTACCCAGTCAGTAAAAGCTTCATAGTCTATGTTCCTCCTACCTGGTTTTATGCCGTTCCTCATGTGGTGGTCTAGTGGCAAGATCTGCCCAGCCAAAGGGGAGGCTGTGGTTTTAATTCACCATCTGTTCCACAGAAGAAAAATGGGCAGGCTCCTCCCGCTGGATTGTGTGCCTCTGAAAACCTGCTTGTAGATCAGGTCGACCTATAACTATCAGTCAGTTATGATTTGATGTACATAACAAATGCATGTGAACATTAAATGTTTATAGTTTGTGAATATGTATCAGCATCACTATGTACCAGCTGTGTAGACATTAGGGAAATCAGACTCCAGAATTTGAGGTCATTAGGTCAGAAGGTTGGGGTGTTATGTGAAATCCCCACACTTGAGACTGTTACCTGCCTATTTGGTGGTCTAAAGGATAATGTCCTTTTAACATGTGGGATCAAGCTCCCAGTTTCTAAGGACAGAAATAGAGTGCCAACAGGTCGACTGGCAATGAGAATGGAGCTATGGAACAATCTCCATGCTGGGAGGTTTGAATTTATGCTTGATGTTACCACACTCATCATTAGGGGAGATAAGGGATGGAGTGCTATCAGTGAAAAGCCTGGCCAGGCAGTCAGAAAGTCGGCTAGCACCGCCTAATTCAACCATCCTTTCCCAGAAGTATGCTTATGAGTTCAAGCCTCAATAGCACAGTGATTTATGGTTCTAAAAGAAGCTAGACTAAAGAACAGAGATTCATCCATTTTATTTAGTATCTTGTTCTGAACAGACAAAAATAAAATTCCCATACATATCTTTTTTCCCCTATATAAATCTGACCAGGTTTAGTCTTTAATGCATTGAATAGAAAAATCATCTCTAGATACTTCCCGCTTCAGTAGCACGGACCACTATTGAGCCAGGAGGCCCGTGCTAACTTTACAGCAAAGGTCATGTGTTATTTTACAAATAAACTAGGTTAGCTGGTACAGGTAAAGGACCAGGATAGCAGCCTTGGGGAGGAGGCAGTGTCCCTGGCTAGGAGCAGTAGCATAGCTAGCTCATTTGTCTGCTAAAACCTCACAGGGAAATTCCTGAATGGTCTTTTTAGCTGACAAGAGTTGGGGAGAATGTGGTGAAGCACAGAGCAAGGATTTCAGAAGCCTCTCATGGAACTGCACCATCTATTAGGGCAGCTGATAGCCCTGCTCGTCATTTCACACAAAGGCATCAAAGCCAAGGCATCATCATACTCCTCCCTTTTGCCTAAATGCCAAATTGAAACTGTTGGCGAAGATGACATTCTTTCTGGGCTTTTTCAGCCATTGCAAGAGGTTTGGTCTCTGCCATGTGAGTACCTGGGAGTCAACAATTCTTTAGGTCTGGTGTTTAGATTCTAGGCTTGAGGTTTCCCTTTAGTGCCTCCCATACCCATCCTAGGTATCTTTTCCCATCACATGTTTCACCTGTCTTCTGAAATCTCCCAAGGTATTTATCTTCTCAGTCATACAGTCCTCAACTTCAGGGCAACTGCCCACACCCTTGTGGAAATGGGGGGGGATGTACAGTGCACTTCAAACATAGAAAAGAGAGGGACACAGAGGATGTTTTTATTACAAAAGAGAAAAACAGCTACAGCAACAGGGCACAGCTGAGGTTGGGGGCCCCCAGTGTCAGTAGTGGATTCTGCTAGATCTCTGTGAATGCAGCATCCCCCCTCCACATTTCTCCCCATGTCCCCTCTTTTCCTGGTCCTATCAGAGTGCAAGGTGCATCAGAGTCTCAGTGCAGATGCATCTGTTTCTGAAGAGCATCTTAACCCTCCCTTTAACATCCTCAGACTAGGGAGCCTTTATCAGGCCTCTCATCTCCGTCTATTGAAGTCAGGATCACCTCACAACCAGGGTCTACCTGCCCCCTATGCTAAGGTCTCTTAAATATTTCCTTTCTGTACACTCACGTATATACATCTATATACATCTCTATATATTAGCTCTGTTTCTTTCTCTTTAGATAGTCTTTTCATGTGTATCCTATATGCTAATTCCTTGAGCCTCCACTCATCTCTCTTTTGCTAACCCAATATGAGTAATGCTAAGTAGATGAGTAAGAGTCAAGCGTTTTATTGACAGCAATAAATCCAACCTTTATATCTTAGGTATCTTCTCCCATCACGTGTTTCACCTGTCTTCTGAAATCTGCCCTCTTAAACTGTGTGCTTGATGCTTTCCTGACATTTCAAGTCTCTGGTTGGTATAGTCAAGGGGTTCATTTTTCACTTAGGATCTAGCAGCTTCCAACGCTTGTCCTGTAGCCAAGAGGATTCTAACTCAAAGGAGATGGAGAATCTCAAGAGTTATTTCGAGTTTATAGAGGGAGAGTTGTTCCTTAAGGGGAGACAGTACCAGATTGACTTAAAGTGCAACTTAGAGCAGTAGAGGAGGCTCAAAAGAGATAAGTCAGAAGATCTCCTCTTCTCATTTTGCTATCCAAGAAGCTGAAGAGAGTCTGGGGCCTTAGAATAGACAACAAGGGAAAAGGAAGAGATTTAGTCCTTCAATTGGGAAGCATCTGTATGCAGGAGAAATTAGATGTAGAATGACTTATTAATAGGTAAGAGTGATGCATACACACACAAACTTTTGTCCTAAAACATCTAAAGAATTCAGGTAAGTCTAATGTTAGATAAAGTTGAGGAGAGCCCAGAAATGGCTCTTTGTTTTCTGTTTCAAATTTTCAAGTTTTTCTGGTTCTTGTTTTCACAAGAGCTAGGGAGTAATGATGAGGCTGACAGTAAGTAGAGAATGATGGGTCTTCGTTTTAGGGATAGTTGAGTTCAAGGAGATATCAATGCTGTTGTAGCAGGTCCAACCTCAGAATTGTATGGGGTTCTCTGCAGAGCTCTGCACACAGAGCACATACATGTTCTAGCAAGCGTATAGCTTGTAACCTAATTGACTGAGCCCACTTCACATAAATTGCCAAGTTATTTCATTCCAAGACTATATGCCAAGCCACTTTGTGAGGGTTCCTTAGTACTTAAATGAAACTAGAAAGTAATCTTGAGATTTGGGATTTAGAAAAATCCTAGTGCTTATGCACCATTCCCTGACCGTGAGATCAGTCCCCTCCCCCACCCCCCGGTGAACAAGGAACGGCCTGAGTCTTAAGTGTCTTTTTAAAAAATGTGTCTGAAACTGCCTCCCGCCAATGGAAGGTAGAGTCAAGACTGATTTCTACTATTTTACAGCAAGTCTTAGGAATGGCTAAGGGAGACCATGGTTCTTTAACTAGGAGGTATCATTTCTTTCCCTCCAAGCATTGCCTACCAAGTAGCACTTTTTAGAAGAGCACCAGGAGGTACAAGAGTGGCTGCCAGCCCCAGAGTTAGGCTCCTGACCAAACCTTCACAAAGCATCACTGATTCCCAGAGGTTCTGTATAGCAGACCAGCAATCTGAGAATTTACCCATCCCATCTGTGGTTGCCTTCGCTTTCCCAAGAAATCTGCCTATGGGTCTAGTTTTCCGTCAGTCATCAGTGGTAGTTGTGTCTGTGTTCTCTGCTTCTCAGATCAACCCCATTTTTGTAGGAATAACAGTTTTTATGAAGGAAGTAGAAGCCCTAAGAGGGATCCACTTGACAACTAGGGGGAAAACAGGATAACCAAAGTTATAATCAGAAACTAAAATGGAAATTAATTATGCTACGGGAAAGCCTTGAATTCTTTCAACAAGGATTGATAGAAAGTCTAGCATAAATTGATTCCAGATTCCTACATTTCTCAGGGCACAGACTCCAAAATAATCATCAGAGAGACACTTGTCTCAGGAAATCTGCTAAGCGAGGGTGGGAGGGATAGGGATGGGGGGGGTGAAAAGAGTGGGGTTCCAGTCTCCAGTCACAGAACTTCTCCATGGTGACCAGGAGTGGGGATCTCTCCATCCTACTGCGTAGCCCTCTGCATGTGAGTCTCCAAGCATGGCTGAGGCCTTCTGAGCCACTTCAGCCTAATCCTCCCTCTTCTTCCCCCTTCCTGACTTAAGGGAGATATATGTGTAGTGAGGTGAGAGGGAGGAGAGAGGTGAAACAGGACAATGAGAGGGAAACTCCATCCCCAATTGGCCTAGATCACCCACCGACCAGTGGGTGAAAGAAGAGGGAGTGGAAGATGGGTGCTTCTGGGGCTCCAGTGGTGTCCCTTACCCAGGGTGCCAAAGGAGAGAGGGAAAGAGACCAGGGATGGGGACGTGGTGACCCAGCATCAGACATTGCTGATGCGCACGCTGAGGGCACTTCCCTCCTTCTCGGCTTGCTCCCTCAATGACTCCTCCAACTTGAGCTTTTCTGGGTCTCCGTAGCGCATGGTGCTGTCACGGAGGCCACTAGGAGAGGCCACTTTCACAACCTGGTCAAAAAGGCTGAAGTCAGCTATGTATTTGCCACTGGCTGACAGAGAGATGGCAGGTGTGAATTCATAACCCCAGAGGATCTCCTCGGGCAGGTAGGAAGTGCGCACCTGGCAGGTGGCACTCGTGGACTCCACTGTGCCACTGAGGATCAGCACCAGCTCGAAGTCCCCCTCACCACTGCGGAGGGGTAGATCCTTCAAGGGACTGTTCTCGTCAACCACGTGGTAGAAGGTGAGGGGCAGAATGAGGAAGGGGCTGTCAGAGGCTGTGTCTACTTGGAAAGTCACATTGACCTGGTTGAGGCGGATGTTCTCTCCCTCCTTGGTCTGGTGAGTCTGAAGCAGTTTGCCTGTCACCTGGCAGCCTATGAGGAGGCTCTTACGCATATTGGCAACTCGGATCATAAGGCAGGGTTTTCCGTTGTGGGAAGCTACCACCGCATGCTGGCTGAAGCGGATGGTCTCAGCACGCTTCTTGGGCCGGGCAATCTTGGCCAGGAAGGTCCCTGTGATGAAGATCTCCAGAATGGTGGTGAGCACCAGCTGGGCAATAAGAAGCACAATAGCCAGTGGGCACTCCTCACTGATGTAACGAAAGCCATAGCCAATGGTGGTCTGGGATTCCAGGGAGAAGAGGAAGGCTCCAGTGAGCGTGTGTACCTGTACCACACAGGGCGTATGGTTGGCTGGGGGACCCAGCTCCAGCAGGTCGCCATGAACCACAGCAACTAGGTACCACACCACACCAAAGAGGAACCAGGTGCCTGCAAAGGTCGCAGAGAAGAGCAAAAGCTTGTACCGCCACTGCATGTCGATGAAGGTGGTCCACAGGTCTTTGAGGTAGAGGAAGCGCTTGTCTGCAATGTGCTCCATCCTCACATTGCTGCGACCATCCTTCGTCAGGACTCTCCGCCTTCGTATCGCTGGGCCCATTAGGGGCCGGCTTTCTGTCTGAGTAGTCTGGCTGTAATACACCTTGGCAACAGATGACATCTGAAGGAAGCAAGACAGCATAATAAAAGTTATTGCATAAATCCATCAACTCCTGTCACCTCCCAGTGCAAAGAAGGAAGTAGCGTCTGGTTTAATGCTACTTATTTGTTCTTGGATCAATAAATATTTGTAGAGTGCTTGTTATATACTAGCATACCAGACACTATGCAAGGTGCTAGGGAGCTCTGGTGGTTAGTGGTACGGAAAGGCACTACTAACCCAAAGTCACATAGCTCAAATCCACCAGCTGCTCTGTGGAGAAGATGAGCAATCTTTCATGTGAAATTTACTGTCTCTGACAACCAACTGGAGGGTGAGCTATGAATCAGTTCCTACTCAAAGGCACATAACAATATTCAAAGTGCTGGCAACGAAAATTACCTCATCCTTGTACAAGGACTCAGTCCAGTGAAACAGACACATGTTTAATAAGCATACTGACTGCATTGCAGTCAGATATGTCTAATATTTAGAAGAAGAGATGCATAAAAGGAGTAACAAGTTCAAATTCCCTAATGGAGCAGGTGAGATTACAGAGATTTGTCCTGGAAAAAGTGCAGCCACAGTGCCACTTGAAGGCAAGGAGGACAACGCTGCTGCTTTATTCTTTGGGCCTGTAGCTAGGCAAGGCAATTCCTTGGAAAGGGGCATTATACTTGGAAAGATGGAAGGTCTGTAAAGGAGAGGAAGACCACCAATGAGGTGGATTGACACAGTGACTGCAGCAATGGGCTCTAGTGTGTCGGTGATGGTCAGGATGGCACAGGATAGGGCAGGGTCATCTGTTCATAGGGTCACTATGAGTCATACTCAACTCGATGGCACCTAACAACAACAACAACAAATCTCCAGTCATCACAAAACCACATCCTAAGAGCTCTAATTCTGAAATAAGACCACTCCTTACCTTCATGACTGGCACCAGCTAGAAAGGCTATCCTGCTGAAATCCTTCCAGGCCAATTTCTTTTAATACCCATATACCTTTAATTTCTTCTTTTTTCTCCCCTAATTCGATGTCCTTATTCAATGGTGACATGAAGCTATTCACGGGCCTCAGAAAATGGGGGGAAAACCCACCTATTTTTCCACCCTTTGAGATGTTCTTTGTCCAGGCCTTCTGACTCCTTTCATTGTACCAGTTGCTCGTGTGTGCTCTGCATTGGTTTTCATGGATCTGTTACTCTCAGGTATAGCACTCTACAGAGAGGATCACAGCTGAGACTGAGAGTTTATGCTTCATTGTTATCATCTGTGTTTTTTTTAAATCAGTCTGGACTAGGGTGGGGTGGAGTCAGAAGGGCACAGAAAGGGCTAGTTGTTATTCATTGTTTTCAAGTCAGATCCGACTCACAAGTGACCCCTCCAGCACATATTGAGAGGCAGAAAATAGCATGAGAGGAGACTGCCCATCTAACTCCCTCAGAGCAATAGCAGGTCAATTCAAGCTTGGAAGCACAACTTCTTACCTCTCGGCCACCAGAGCTCCTTAAAAGGGCTAGAACCCACCCCAAAGAAATCACAATGGTGGAGGAGAAACAACTTTCTGAAGCTTCCTGGTAGTGCTGGGTCATTTTTTTAAGGGCTGGAATAAATACCACACTGCAGGTGGCAAAATTGTATTGACTGAATCAAGTAGGAGAGTTAGTAATGTATATTAGTGTTTATGTTTGTGCTGTCTCAAATTCAAGATTGCTATTTACCCTAATAGTAGAAAGTGGGACAAAGCACTGAAATAGGAGACACTCTGTTAATACAAGGTGTCTGGCACCCCTGCCCAACCAGTAACTTGTACTTTTCCATCAGAGAAAGAATTTTAATGACTTGGACCTTTGACTCAGTTTAGTCATCAGATCTTCTGGGACGATACAGAGTGATCTCTGAGGAGTTTAGTCCTTCTTGGAGAACAGAAAAATCTATCATACTCTTCATTCCAAGCAATATAAAGTATTCATTTTATTCTTTTTAACAGTCCCCCTCACCTTTTATTCCAGGGCCTTGCCCCCTGGAAAATGCTAAATCATTTGAATCCATTTATGTACTCACTCGAGTGACCACTGAACTGGACACCAACAGTGTAGGATAATCCCAAGAGAGCTCAAAAGCAACCAGGATACTGGCTCTACACATCCCTAGCCCACTTGGAACTTTTGTCCAAGGGAGACAACGCAGCTGAACTTGCCACCCACTCCCTAAGATCTCTGGCTACTTTGGAGCAAAAGAAAAGCTCTGTATATCAGAAGTTAGAAGAATTCTCATGTAGAGCCCAAATAAAGTCTTATTTAGACATTGTGTTGAGAAAGGTGGTGGGTCAGAAAAAGAAAGGAAGACCCTCAACAAGACAGACTAACACTGTGACTGTAACAGTGGGCTTGTGCATATAAGAAATGGAGACTGTGGAACAGCATAGGGCAAGGTTCACATCTGTTGTTCATAGGGTGGCTGCTGTGAGTTGTAGTCGACTTAGTGGCACCTAAAAATAACAACCTTTTCAAGATTACACGTTAGCATATCTTCTCATTGGATCCTCAAACTCTTCAAAAGAAAAGCAAAACCTCTACAGAATATTTTTAAAAAGAAATCAAAGTGCATTTCACAGACTACAGGCAAACAGGTAAAAGAGTGATCAGAACATAGATTCGAGAATGAAGTATGAAGATTGTGCATACTTAGACATGGTGGGAGAAGGTAGTTGTCAATAAGACCTGGCACAGGTTTATGGTACAGGTTTCTCTGAGCATAATTACATGTAGTTGCACACAGGTCAAGCACAATTGTTCCTAGACCAATAGTCACTCAAATACAACACAACATATGGTTTAAAAAGCAGGAAAGCTATAATCAAGGTTGTCTTCTTTCACCGTACTTATGCAATATATACAATGAACAAATGATCCAAGAAACTGAACTATATGAGGAAGAATGCAGCATTAGGATTAAAGGAAGACTCACTAACAACTTGAAAATACAGATGACACAGTCTTACTTGCTGGAAGTGAAGAGGACTTGAAGAACTTAACTGATGAAGATCAAAGACTACAGCCTTCAATATGGATTACACTTCAACACAAAGAACACAAAAAGCCCAGGTGATCTGCTGGAGAAGGAGGGACAGTCTCCTCGTGTACCTGTCAGATCCGATTTGACGGTACACATACAAAAATAATAAAATAAAATTAAAAGAAAAAAATGCAAAAATCCACACAACTGGATAAATAAGCAATATCATGATAAAAAGGAAAGATTAGAGTGGTCAGTAATGTAATTTTTAATGTCATTTTTTAATGTCATAAATTGATGGGATACCTTTGACGTATTTCAGCAAACAGATGCTGCCTTGGACCTGCTTACCTTGGAGGACAACTACCTTGCCAACTGACTGGAAGAAATCCATCTCTCTTCTTATTAAAAAAAAAAGGTGAGCCAACAGAGTGTGGAAATTATAGCACAATATTACTGATAGCACATGTAAGGAAAATCCTGCTGAAGATTACTCAAAAATGACCAGAATGGTACATAGACAGAAAATTGCCAGAAATACAGTCTGGGTTTAGGAGAGGTCATGGCACTAGGGACATCATAGCCAATGTCAGATGGATCTTGGCTGAAAGCAGAGTGTATCAGAGGAATGTCTAACTGTATTTCATTGACTATTCAAAAGCATTTGACTGAGTGGATCACAACAAATTGTGGCTAACCTTATGAAGAATGGAAATCTCAGAACACATGGTGGTGCCCATGTGAAATAATACTTGAGCTAGGAAGCACTTATCAGACAGAACAGGAAACATTGCTGTTCAAAATCATGAAAGAGTGTATCAAGTATGTGTCCTCCTTACTTTTTAATCTATATGCAGAACAGAACATTCAGGAGGCTGGACTTTATGAATATGAAGAGGAATGTGGCATTCAAGATTGGAGGAAGACTCATCAACAACCTGTGTTATGCAGATGAAACAACCTTGTACTCCAAAACTGAGGATAGCCTGAAGTGCTTGCTGCAGAAAGTCAAGGACTGAAGTCTTCAATATGGACTGAAGTGGAACATCAAGAAGGCAGAGAGTCTCACCATTGGGCCAATTGGCAGCACCATGATAGAGAAGAGATAGAGATTGTTAACAATTTCCACTTGCTCAACTCCCCCAATGATCTTGGCACCAGCAGTCAGGAAATCAAAAGACAAATTGCATTAGGAAACTCTGCCATCAAGGATCACTCCAGAGTGCTAAAGAGGAGTGATGTCAGTCTAGAGACTAAGGTGCACCTGATCCAGACCATGGTTTTTGCAATTACTTGCTATCTATCAGAGAGGTGGACAATGACTAAGGACGACAAAAGAACTGGTATGTTCAAATTGTGGTGCTGGAGACAGTACTGACCATTCATGAGCTGCCACAAGAACAAATTGGTTTGTCCTGGAGAAGGTGAAACCAAGTTGTTCCTTGGAGGCAAGGATTTTGAAGCTCTGTCTCACGTACTTTGGGAATGTCACCAAGAGGGACCAGTCCTTAGAGAAGGACATCATGTTTGGAAGGATAGAGAGACAGCACAGGAGGAGATGGATTGACACGCTAACTGGGGTTATGGGAGTAGGCGTGTCAGAGACAGTGAGATTGGCTCAAGACAGGGCTGGGTTCAGAGCTGTTGTTTATAGGGTTGCTATGAGTCACAGGAGATTCAACAGCACATAACAACAACCACAGTGTCATTTTATGTGAATCCATAATCAACATCCATGAAAGCAGCAGTCAAGAAATCAAATGATTTACTGCTCTAGGAAAATCTCCAAAGAATTTCTTAACAATGTTAAAAAGCAAGACTGACATGCATGTTTGGGGGAGAACAGGAAAAGAGCGGACAGATAATGAATACTGTTGGAACAGATGAGGGGAGGAATGGTCCAAAAGGAATAGATTATTAGGTTATATATGCCAGCAATCTGGAATGAGAGATGCATTGCAACTTAGGGGAGGGGGAGGGAGGAGGAGAGAAGAAAATGTG